AAGACGACATAGCCAAGGGCATTGTAAAATGGCTGGTAGATGTGTATGACCAGACCGGGGAAACGGTAGCTATTGCTACGATCCTTACAATGGTAAAGAAGCGTAACCAGGCATAATGGGCATCTTCAGAGCGGCCATTGTAGTATTGGCCTTTGTATTTATACCTTATCTGATCTTTGTATTACCGAAACGATTACGAAACCATCGCTCGGCCAGAGTGCGCTATTATATCTTCTTCGTAGCGGCATTCCTGTTTACAATATTCGTTGTAAGGCTGATAAAGTAATGGTTCCTGAGAGGAAGTATTTGCAACGTGTCCCGCCAAAACGGGACACGTTTTTTTAGGCCTGCCTATGCGACAAAGACGACGGCAAAAAGTAAGCCGCCTCCGGAAACGGGGCGGCTTATTTATGTTTAGTTGTTTTTCTGTTCCTGGTACAGCATTTTGATCAGGCCGTCGGCCAGGCCGATCTTTGGTACATAGATCTCATCGGCGCCTGCCCAGCGCATGATGCAAATGAAGATCTGCAAGGCCGGTACAATTACATCGGCACGGTCTTCGCGCAACTGGTAGCGGTGCATACGTTCCGCCAGTGTAGCGGCACTCAGCTCTTTGTAATAATCCCGGAGCAACTCTGCCGGTAGTGGTTTTCCTTCTTTGCGTTTCGAGATAGAGAATACTTTATTGATATTCCCGCCCGACCCGATCACTTCTATCGGCTGGTAATCTTTGACATGAGTTTTCAGGTACCACTTCATATGTTCCCACTGCTCTTCGGTGACCTTATCATGCAGCAGGCGTATGGTACCAATATTAAACGACTCTTTAAACACAATGGCGTTCTTGGAGAACAGTGTTACTTCCGTGCTGCCGCCGCCTACATCCACATAGAGATAGGACCTTTCGAAGTTGAGGTTTTCGGCAATATGGGTTTCATAAATGATATTCGCTTCTTCCTGCCCGGTAATGATCTTTACTTCGATGCCGGTCTCTTCTTTTACCCGCTTCAGGATCTC